TGCACCCTTGCCCATGTTTGCCCGCACCCTTCCCATCTCCCTGCCTGCACCCTGCCTGCACCCTGCCCACCTCCCTGCCTGCACCCTGCCTGCCTCCCTGCCTGCACCCTTGCCCATCTTCTTGCCCACACCCTGCCCACCTCCCTGCCTGCACCCCTGCCCATGTTTTTCTCAGCATTCCTGCCCATCTCCCTGCCTGCACCCCTGCCTATGTCCCTGCCTGCACCCTTCCTGCCTCCCTGCCTGTACCCCTGCCCATCTCCCTGTCTGCACCCCTATGTCTCTGCCTGCACCCCTGCCCATGTCCCTGCCTGCACCTCTGCCCCCTGCCTTCCCCCCTGCCCATCTCCCTGCCCGTGTTCCTGCCTGCACCCTGCCTGCACCCCACCCAAGTACTGGGCAGACTGGGGGGGTGGGTGATGTTAGTGCAGGCTTTGGCAGACTTTGGCAACGGCAAGCACTTTCTGGGTGCAAATGAGGGTGATCAAAGCCTGAGATGGTTTCTAAGAGATTCTTTATGTCCCGAGGAAATACCCAGTGCTGCTCTGCTGGCAAAACAGGGCTCATCATCTGATGGCACCGTTATCAGGGGGGTGATTACAGAACCACCAGCAACCCCCCACCCAATGGTGACATCTGCTCTTACGGCTCAGGGCAGCAGGAGAAAGCTTCCTCCTGCAGAAGACACCTTATTCACCCTCTGCAACTATAATTAAATTATAGATAGCAAACTAAGTTATTTAGCACCCCTATTAAAGATGCATGGCCCCTGTCTTTTTTTGGCGTGTGCTTGAGGAGGAGCAGCACCAAGGCAGGTAAATGCTGCTTTTCCGGGGATTTCGCCTCGTGCTGATGGACTGTGATGAAGATGCTCTGCTGGGTTTGGACACGGCCGGTGGCTCACCCCGCGCTGCAGGAACCACCACCCGGTGTTGGCAGCAACAGCACTTTGTTTTTAAAGCATCTGTATGGTCCTTGGCTGCTTCACGGAGTGGGTTTCTCCCGGCTCTTTTCACCCGTTATCTCCTCTGAAGGGAGATGATGGGATCTCCACTGCAGGAGCTGGAGCTGGGGGTGGGAAGGGGGACTCAGCCCCCATAAACCAGCCACAAGCAGGGTTTGTGCTGCAGAAACCACCCCGGGCTCTCTCAGGCTGGGGGAGCACAGGGGATTTGGGTGGGAACCGGTCTCGCAACACAGGTATCTCCAGGGTAATCCAAACCAGCTCACAGAGGACGTTCAGCTCCATGTTTGCTCACTCAGGAACCTCAGGGGACTGGGAAAGCACCAGTTTGGTGCTGGGAGGCAGGACCCCTCTGCTCAGGGCAGAGCAGGGAGCACCAGCAGAAACCCAGTTTGACGGCAGGGCAGGTCTGTTGGGGAGGAACAACAGGGAGGTGGTTCAGGTCTGATGATAAATGGGTCTCCAAGAGCTCTGCCAGCAGCCAGGGATGGTACGTCCAGGTGGACGAGGAAGCTGAAGGTGCTGGAGGCTGTGAAGGGCTGCAGCAGGTTCTCCCTCTCCCAGGGGAGATCACACAACCCAGACCCCATAGGGCAGGGTACGGACCCAGCGCCCAGCCAGGATCTCCACAGGGCCATGGCCATTCCTCGGGGGCATCCTCAGCCTGGGCGGCTGAGATGTACCAGAAAAGGAGAGCTCTCTACCCCTGGCCACTCCTCCTCCTGAGGAGAATTCAGGCAGACACAGGGGCAGGGAGGTCAGGAGCAGATGCCGGGGGTGACAGAGACACCTTTGCTTTAGCTGATACCCCTGGAGAAACATCAGCTGCCTTTGCCTGGGCCAAGAGGGGGAACCAAACTCCTCAGCGCTTCATGGCGATAGCACGTTCCTTAGGGCCAACTGGTGTTGTTGTAGATCTCCATTATTAGCTGGTCTTCGTGACTAATGACAGTGTAATGAATACATTCACACGGTAAAATACAATGTTCCTGCCATCAGGGAAATACACGATGGGGAAATTTGTGCCTGCAGTTCCTGTTTCCCAAATGCAGCCCGACCACTGGCGGCACAGGTCACTCTGCACATCTGCTCCTCGACAACGTCCATGGAGGTCACAGCCATTTGTAAAGCTCCAGGGGCTCCCTGGGGATGTAGCTGTGCTGGTGAGAGATGTGCCAGGAGGTCGTAATGGGAAGAAGAGCAGTGCTTGGGAAGATGAGCTTGTCTTCTTGGGAAGAAAGCCAACTCCATCCTGGGCTGCATTCCCAGCAGCGTGGCCAGCAGGGTGAGGGGGCATGGATTCTGCCCCTCTGCTCTGCTCTGGGATGACCCCCCCCCAAGTGCAGCCTCCAGCTCTGGGGCCACCAACATCAGAAGGATGTGGACCTGTTGGAACGGGGCGAGAGGAGGCCACGGAGATGCTCCAAGGGCTGGAGCCCCTCTGCTGTGAGGACAGGCTGAGAGAGTTGGGGGGGTTCAGCCTGGAGAAGAGACGGCTCCGGGGAGACCTTAGAGCCCCTTCCAATCCCTAAAGGGGCTCCAGGAGAGATGTGGAGGGACTCTGGATCAGGGAAGGGAGCCATAGGACATGGGGAGCAGTTTTAAACTGAGAAGAAGGGAGATTGAGATGACATATTGGGAAGAACTTCTTTGGTGTGAGGGTGGTGAGAGCCTGGCCCAGGTTGGCCAGAGAAGCTGTGGCTGCCCCATCCCTGGAGGGGTTCAAGGCCAGGCTGGAGGGGGCTTGGAGCAACCTGGTGTGATGGGAGGTGTCCCTGCCCAGGGCAGGATGATCTTTAAGGTCCCTCCCAAACCAAACCATTCTGTGATTCTATGACTCTATGACATGATGGCACAGCTCTGTGTGGAGACAACGGAGCACAATGGGGAGATGGTGCTGCTACAGGGTACCAGCCACCACCCTGGGCAGTCACCTACATCGTCTGGCTACGTCAGAGCAAACCAGTTCAGCCAGTGTCCACGCTTAAAATTCAGTCTGGTTTTGATAAAGTGATGTCACTTCACAGTGGAAAGAAAGATGTGCAGGAGAGGACTTCTCCAAAGACCCCTGCGCTTCCAGTTTTCAAATCTGTAAGGTGACAGACATGGGGCCGGAGCCTCCTGCCTGGCTGTCACCAACAGAAAGTGTGGGTCACCAGCCTTTACTCTTCGTGTGCCAGCTCCTGTCTCCACAGAGCCAGTGGGTGACATGGCCGGGTGAGCTGGGACAGTCTGGCTTGCTCTGCTGCCCCCGAGCCATGAGGAACCTGCTTGTGCAGGAGGAGTGAGGAGGGATTTGGTCCTTGTATCACACCGAAACAGGACTTTGTCTCCCCAACAGGTACATGGATTCTCCTCCCACCTGTAATGACAGGTTTGGTGCCGTTTGATGGGAATTGCTTTGCTGACATGGGACTCTGCCGGGGAGTTATCAGCATCTCAGCAACCCAGCACCTCGTAGAGCACAGGGAGGTGGTGGTGAGACAGGTCTTTGGGACGGCCTGGGTCGCTCCCACGGGCTCCACTCCCATTTTCCTTCCCCTGGCACAAGCACAGATGTTTTGCCTCTCCATCCCACATTCCAGTGGCGGGATCCTGCCTTCCAAACCACAGCGAGCATTGCTGCGGAGCTCGTAGAACCTGCTGGGGTGTTTATCGCTGCGTAGCATCCAGTCTTGACTCCAGAGAAAAAGAGTAAGGAATGACTTAATTCCTTTGCTGGAGACTCCATTAATGAGAGCAGAGATATTTCACCCAGAAGGAACAGGAGTTGCACAGTGTTTGACGCACAACGTATGTGCACAGACACCCTCCGAGAAGGATCCACCCTTATTGTGGTATGAGCAGTAAACATTTTCCGTGGCATATGAAGAATAATAAGCAATTATACCTTTAAATTGCCATCCCCCCATTGCCTGCCGAAACAGCTAATATTATCAATCCAGGTATGACAGTATCAAGCAAACACTGCCATTAAATCATCATCTTCGTTAACTAAAACATCTGTAAGCCTTAACATTAAGGACTGCAACATTTTGCTACCATTTTAATTTCATGACAGAATTCTCACAGGCCTTCAGTGCCTGCAAAAGAAATATTTACTTCACTCACATCACTTCACAGCCCAGCTGCCTGCACTGATCTTTAAACAAACAGCATCTTGAGAGCTGTTGGTTTTAATAGCCGAAATGATACCGGGTCCTCATTCTCAGAGAAAATCTATATTTCATGCAAATTTGGAGCCTGTTTGAAAAATCAGGCCAAGGAGCAGGAATCGGAGTGTGTCTGGCTGGAAAGAGCCAAGCATTTTTAGAAATGACTGCACTCTCACTCTTGAAAACCAGGCCCCTGCAGAGAGTTTTAAATTGGACACCACAAACGAAGAAGCCCCAACGTCCTTGTATTCCTTTGAGAACAGAGATTTAAAAGCTTCACTCAAAAGAGCTTCCCAGTTAAACGCCCGAGTGGGAGCTGAGGGCTTTTTCCTTAATCAGCACCAGACAAATGGAAATGAACACAGAAGACTGAACTTACACAATTTATTCATTAAAGGAAGGGACAGAAAGGGGTGGGGAAGAGAGAGCCCACGTGAAAGCAAGAGAGACTGCCAGGGAAGGTGGCAACAACAACAGGCAAGTGTTATAACAACAGCCAAGATGATTTGCAGAAGTGATGAAGGATGGTGGGGGCAGCCGAGGAAGCAGCAGCTCCTGTGCCAGCTCTTAGTGCAATTCTGGGTATTTCCAGATCAGGATGGCACCGTCTGCACTCACACTCACGATGTACTTCTTGTTGGGGCAGATCTTAAGACGGGTGATGTTGCCACTGTGGCCCACTCCAATGTGAGTCACCGTGCCCTCGTAGTCCCACAGCTTCACCAGACGGTCATCGCCACCTGCGGTGGGAAGAACAAACCATTACACAGAGTTCTGCTGCTTCGTGTTCCCAGATCACGGGCAGGGGAATACTCAGGCACTCATTTGATTTAGGATGAGTGGGATACATTGTCTCGGGCATTATGGCAGGATACGTTACAGTAAAAATGACTTATTCTCAACTGAAGTAGAGAGTGAGTGTCCAGTAGAGTGCTCAGGACCTGCATCAGCACATCACCATGAGCTCTGGCCAGCAGAAGGCACTGATAATATGAAGGGCCTTCAAAAGGCTCTTGACCAATGTTTAAGAGGTTGTTATGGGTTGAGAAAACCCATAACAATTTACTGTCATTTAGAAAATTATTCTATCACCTGATGACCCCTGCCCACCTGGAAGGGGAATCGAGGAACATAAAGAAACAGGAGGGTTAAAATATAAATAGATTTAATAGGATAAGACCAAATACTTAACAATAATACCAAAGAACCAATATTCATCTCAATACCCATACAAGATACACGAGGATTATCCCCAGCCCATTCCCCAGCAGAAGCCGTGCTCTCCCCGCAGGGACAGTCAACGTGGGACCCTGCGAGCGCTGGGGCTTCAGGTGGAAGGGAAAGGCTCAGGGCTCTGGCACCGGGGCAAGGAGTTCTCAGGGTGGCAGCCATCAAGGGAGAGAGAGAGAACTCCTCAGCAAACTCTCTATTTTAGATCGAATGTGACATTCATGGTATGAAATAACCCTGCTGGCACCTTCCAAGGATGGGCTTTAAGGTCCCTTCCAACTCTAACCATTCTATGATTCTGTGATCCTCCAAGGCTGAACCACAGCCTTTTTCTAAGTATTCATTCAGTGATTCATTTTATTTTCCCCTTCAGCTGACCCCCTCCTTTGTCCTATTTTTTTTCTTGGTTCATCACCTTCCTTTTCCTGCTCTTAACACAACCTTCTTTTTAGATCGAATGTGACATTCATGGTATGAAATAACCCTGCTGGCACCTTCCAAGGATGGGCTTTAAGGTCCCTTCCAACTCTAACCATTCTATGATTCTGTGATCCTCCAAGGCTGAACCACAGCCTTTTTCTAAGTATTCATTCAGTGATTCATTTTATTTTCCCCTTCAGCTGACCCCCTCCTTTGTCCTATTTTTTTTCTTTCTTTACTGAGATCCTTGGTTCATCACCTTCCTTTTCCTGCTCTTAACACAACCTTCTCTTTCTAGCTTCATGCACCTACTCACCTGTGACAAAGTGCTTCCCATCTGATGTGATGTCCATCCCATTGATGGTACCAGACGCAGACCCTTCCACTTCTTGGACGAGAGAGCCATCAAACACTTCCCAGTAGGCAACCTGGGGAGTGGAGCAGAGGGGAGAGCTCAGCTGGGTACAAACAGCATTAACATTCTGCCCCCTAACACCAACCTCTGTGGAGGTACCGGAGTTTCACCACGTAACAAGCCCCACACGTTGTGTTTTGGAATTACAGCATACAGAATTCCTGCAATTTTGCTCACCTTTCTGTCTGTTCCAGCGGTGATTATCTGGTACACTTCAGGGTGGTAACACACACATTTGAACAACGTGTTGGCAAGAAATATTTGCTTTCTTACAAAACGCCTGCAAAACACACCCAAAACAGGATAGGGTCAAAAAATGAGCTTTGACTGCCTAACTATCCCTGCTGGTGCTGTGCATCAGATCTCTCCTTCTACTCGGATATTTTCAGGTATTGATCTGAGCTCAGAGTTTCACAAAGCTGACTGGGGACATCACCTTTGTTCCCCATCACAGCTGCCTCAGAAGACTTTCGATCTGTGTCATACTAAATGCAAATTTGTAATCCAAGATGCTTTCTAGGTGCTATTCGCTATGCAAACATTTCCTTGTCCTTACCCCAAAGCAGAGAGCCTGCAGATCTGCAATAGTTCAACAGCCATCATACAGTGCTGGAAAAAGGAGCCAGTTGGACATTTAGGAAATCACTTGCTACACCCCCTTGGACAAGCAGGATCCAACACCTGAGCCAAATGTTTGTTGAAACCTTTCTGCAAAGTTTCCAGCATTGGAGGTTCTACATTCCCTCAACTGATTGTTCTTTCTAGTAATTTTTATTTCCTAATGCTCTTTTTCCCCTCCTCCTCGCTACGTGGTGTCCCAAATAGGGCACGGTGACCCAACAGAGACATTCCTTGCATTTTAAATGCCTTGCAATACTTATCCGTCCCCTTACACAATATCCCAGACGATGCACGTTTTGTCAAGGCTGGTTGTGACACACTCTTGGTCGTTCTCCTTAATCTTGATGCAGGACACAGCACACGTGTGCTCCTTCAGAATTTGGATCAGTTTCTGAGTCTTCTCTCTGATCTCCCAGATCCTCACCTGAAAATCAGCAACAAACATCTGCTCTTGTACCACCTGGTGCTGACCCAGCTCAGGAGGATGCCTAGGGCTTTCCTGAACTCTTCTTTTTTTGGATAACACAGACAGGAACTGAATCTCAACAGACTCATCTCTATTTTCCTGTGGGTTATTCCTGCAGCTGACTCATGAAACTGAGCTAAATTCCCGAGAGTGTAATCCCTTTGGTTCAGGAACTCCTGCCCATTAACCCAGACCTTGTTTTTGCCAAGTCTCCACTCTCCCATGCTTCGGTTCACTCATCTCTCAATCAGCAAAAAGCATCTAGTCCATGATATATTTCCAGTGGTGCTTTAAAGATCAAAGAGCACAGCTTCTGCTGCGGAATATAAAAAGGGTACCTGCTATTTGTGCTACACACAACACCAGTAAGTAAATACAAACCAGCTCTTTAACTCTTTGATGTGAAATATGTGCCTGAAAGCACCTCTTTTCCCAGTGGGGATAACAGCAAAAATCTTTCTGCTTTGAGGGCTTGATCCGTGACACCTTACATTTACCATCCTGCTAGTGCCAAACTTCATGGTATCTTTTTGCCTTTACATTCCACTAAGGTCAAATCCTAGTGAAACTTAGAAATTTAGAGGCTGAGCTGACCACCTTCCTCGTTTCCAAGCCTGGTGCTGTGGGATCCAGATGCCCAATTCCCACTCGCTAAACTATCAGAGCATCCAGATCCCTGAAACACCCCTGAAAGTCCCAGCTTCCGGGTGACCGACTTTGACAGAACTATTAACATTTCAGAAGAGCTTTTTTTGTGTTCCAAATGAATACTGCAAGCGCTCCCCTGCAGTTCTCATTTCTACTTAACCAACCTTTAGCTTTAGTTCTTCTCTCAGCCGGGCTCTTTTCAATTCAGAGATCAACTAACCAGAGCCAGTGCTGGTCTGTGTGTGCTGACACAGAATCTAGGTCCTCCCTCTTCCACATCCTCTAGCGCTAATCATCCAAAAACTGATCTTTTATTAGCGAAGGGCTGAAGTGGCTCATTGTCTCTAATGTCTCTGTGCTGGGAGATGAGGCGGCGCTGCCCTCACTGAGGTGTGGGATGATGCAGGAAGACGGGTCACTGATTAGGACATTATCCTGAGATTTGGGAGACCCCAAGTTTAACTCCTCGCTTGTCGAGGCTTCCTGTGCCACCTCCTGTGGGGGACACTGAGCGTGTGTGTACCCTCCACATCAGGGTACACAAACAAAGCACAGAGCCATGAACTCAGAGCCAGGAATCTGTACAATTAAATGCCTGGTTCTGAGCGCTCGCCAGACTACAGAGAGAAAGCCCAATGCAAGGCAAGAAGCTGAACGTGAGCCTCCCAAGTCTAATTATTTATTTTTAATATAAATAAGGTCCCCGTGATTAAGTTTTTTAAACAAGAGGAGTGTCACTTTTACAGACTGAAAAGGGCCACAACCATATGAAGTGGATGGAGTAGCCAAAGCACACAGTGTTTATTTTATGCTGCCTGAAAAAAAACAGCATGACCAATCCGGCCAAAACCATGACAGAACTGCACAGGTATGATGCCTACAGCATACTTTCTGATTTTTCACAGAATCACAGAATCTTCATGGTTGGAAAGGACCTCTGAGATCACCGAGTCCAAGCATACACGCACAAAAGACCCCCGCAATCTCGGCCACTAGAGCAACTCATTATTTGTATTGGAGTATTACCATAACTGTATCAGAAACTGGGTGATTATTTGCCTTTTATTGACACCATCACCTAAACCGGACAGTACCATCCCAGGAAATTAGGAAACTACCCCACAGACACTACAGCAACATCAAGTGAACTTTGTGGTATGAAATGAATTCATACAGGTCGGTTTGGAGAGGACTAAGACTTCCAAAGGAATGACAGACAGAGAATCTGTGCTAGAGCACAGTTAGACAGAGGCCTGCAAACAATGACTAATGCAGATCAGCCAAATACAGGGGAGAGACAAACACAAAGGATTAAGAGCATATTCTGCATTAAAAGAATTTCCAAGGCTGCCACGCCAGAAGAAACCAGGGCATTGTTTTATTTTATGTCCCCTGAGAGCAAGAGATCTGCATCTATCAACAGCTAATATATTTTGAACCCTGTGCTTTGCTCAAGCAAGAGCTAAGGATAGCTCCCGTCCTGACTAAGCAGCTGCAGAGAATCCGCAGGCCCCGCGACAGGACCACGGAGCTGCTCTTTTTGCTGGGGTTTTGAGCAAAAATTACCTGCCCATCCCCTCCTCCGCTAACGATGCGTTTACAGTCACTTGTAGCAGCGATCGCCGTCACTCCCAGGCTATGGGCAGAGTGAATCACATACATTGGCTGGCCCGTCTCTGGCGTGAAGGCACGGATTTTACCGTCGTCCCAAGCTGATGAATAAAAAGGAACAGATTACAGAGACGCACAGACTTTCCCCATATTCTTGTGTCTCTCTCCTTTCCAAATGAACTTGGGTTTTTTGTTAAGTTCCAGGCCCATCCTGTCAGATCATCAGCACACACGTGAAAACCGCTGTATTGTAGATGCGCCACCGAGCTACAGCCCCAAATAAACTATTGAAATTTACTTCCTTCTTTTTGGTTCTACTCTGGGCAAATTGGTTTGGTACTGGGGGGGCTGCACTGCTGCTCTAGGACTACAGTAGCTCCTCTGTAAGCAATCTGCACAGAATCACAGAATCTTCTAGGTTGGAAGGGACCTTAAAGATCATCTTGTCCAACCGTCAACCTAACTGACAAAAATAGACACCCACACAACAAACAAGAAGCATCACCATCCCTAAACCATACCTCCCAGCACTACATCAACCCGGCTTTTGAACACCTCCAGGGATGGGGCCCCAACCACCTCCCTGGGCAGCCCAGTCCAATGGCTGAGAACCCTTTCGGTGAAAAAATTTTTCCTAATATCCAGCCTGAACCTCCCCTGGCGCAACTTGAGGCCATTTCCTCTCGTCCTGTCGCCTGTGACTTGAGAAAAGAGACCGACCCCCACCTCTCTACACCCTCCTTTCAGGGAGTTGGAGAGAGCAATAAGGTCTCCCCTCAGCCTCCTCTTCTCCAGGCTGAATAACCCCAGCTGCACGTGGTGATGGGCGGCAGGGTTTATGCAAAAGGTGGTCTAAACACATCGCACCAGCTGCACGTGGTGATGGGCGGCAGAGTTTATGCAAAAGGTGGTCTAAACACATCGCACATTAATCTGTTACATACAACAAGGTTAATATTTCAGAATTAGGTCTTTGGAATACGGCCAAACTGAGTTCTGAATTGTTGGAATTCACATCCCAAGTGGGGTCTCAAAACCTTGCTTTCCCCAGGCACCATCACTGCAAGCAAAGAGACCTTTGGGTCAAGCAATGAACTGAATTTAAACCCATTCCCAATTTAAACCTCTCTTCACTCCAACATACTGATCTTTATTAAATTTGGCGACACCTAAAGTCTGGACTCTACGGTGTGTCTGCCTGATCCTTACCTGAAATGATGCTCAGGCCATCCCTTGTAATCTCTACGGCATAGCAGATCGAGTGGGGGACGAAGATGCGCAGGAGCTCCTTGTTTTTCGGGGTGTGCCACACTCGAATGTAATTTTTGGAGCAGGTAGCGAACACTTTGGAAGATCCACTGGAAAATTCAGAGAGGAGAGATCATGAGGAGGGGTGTACAGAAACCGCTTCTGATTTCCTTGTCAGACCTTAAATAGTCCTTGCAAAGTTCAGTGGTTCCTCACCTGCAACCATCATCTGCCCAGGAGGGCCCACCATGGTTAAGACAAAGGCCTTTCTCCCAGGATCACCTTGCTCACGTAAAATTCCCCTGGTTTGCCTTCTATTCAGAGATTCATTTTAAGAAACAGTCAAATGACAGTGAAATGGAAAGAATTCTTTCTACTTCAGGTGAAGTTGTGACATTTATTTCCCACATTCAGTCTCTAAACAACTTCACGTGTTGTATATAATAGACACAAAAGTGGGTGTAGAGGTGCTGACTGCCCAGATTTAACATCGGGGACTAACAGCAGCCTCATATTGTAAAGATGTCATTTTTTATCTTGCTTACTGGATGATTCCTATTCAACATCGCTGAAGGCAATAGAAATGATGGCAAAAAGCCTCTTCGTAAGATACTTGTTATACATGTTTGAATAAAAAAAAAAGACCTGCGGCATTTCTAAAACTCTGGGACTGAACGCTTTGAAATGAGCTCTAAACCATACATCCCAGGGACACGACAGGGACTGAAGTCTAGAAAGGTACCGCGAGCTTTTGTTCAACGTCACCATCAACGCCCGGGAAGATGAACCAGGACAGAGGAAAGTGGCACAACAAAAGCATGGCCCCTTTCAAGCCCAGCTCGTGCTGGTGATTAATAAAGCAGGGTAACATCAGCAACTGAAGAATTCTGAAATAAGGCAGAACACTTAAATTACATCTGTATTTCCCAAACAGTGATAGGCTCTGTTCAAAAGCAGTTAACAGATAAAAAGTCTAAACGTATATATGCAAGGATGTAGTCCTGTAGTCCTTCCAATCATCCCTAAATCCAGCTCACCCAAATACCTCTGTGACGCAGACGTGTCACTCAGGTATATTAGCAGCAGATTACCCTAAAGATCCAAATGATTTTTGCCTGAAACTAGGAGGAGGTGGATTTTTCAGGCTGGTGACAAGCAGAGAGGAGCTTCTTGGTGAGTTCTGACGCTCTGTGCTGCAGCAAGAAGCGATGCAGTAACAACATGCCAAAAATAAAACCTCTCATTGGGATCAAACTCCCGTTCTCTATGTGGAAACAACTGATCCATTGTGGGTTTTTTATTAAATAAAGTGTAACAATCCTACTACACAGGAAGAGGGAACGGTTGCTGTGTGTACCCAGCATCTCTCGTCACAAGCCTCGAATTTAATATAACATGCCATATTGTCAAATGTGAAATCCTCAGTGAGGCTGAGAGACCCAAAAAGCCCCTTTGAACAGCTCCATTAGTCAGGTCCCAGTGGCTGTTCCAGGCAGGCAGAAAAGCAGACACATCTACAAGCTCTGGCTGCAAGAAGGTTCCCAAAACCAGCCCTTCAGGACTTACCCCACTGGCAGGGGAAGAGGCTCCAGTCTCACAGGAGAAAAGGGGGCAGTTGCCAGTGCTGCCATTACCCAAACATAAATAATTCTAGTTTTTATATTTAGAATTCTTTCTGTAGAGAGACGAGTTTTCCAATTCTCAAATTGAACTGCTTGCTTTTTGCTTTCAAGCAGCTGCTCACCATCACCTTTGCCTCTCATTGCGGGGTGAAATCACCCCATAAAGATGTTGATAGGCTTCGGGTTCCTGTTGGTTTAAAGGTATTTCCACGAGTATCCTGACCTTCTGACCTTACTTGCAGCTTCCTCACACTTCCTCACCAGCCAGAAGTATCCCGGCCACAGTATCCTGACCTTACTTGCAGCTTCCTCACACTTCCTCACCAGCCAGAAGTATCCCGGCCAGATATACTCACAAAGGGAAAACGATGTCGTGGACGGCTTCCTTGTGAGAGACAGCAATCAGCTCCTCTTTAAACTCCCTGTAGTTGACTCGATAAATCTGGCACTCACTTGTCCCTACGAAGAACTGGTGACCCTCACCTCCGCATGTCAGGGAAGTGACAGCACCATGAACTTTAATTTTCCTGTTAAAGAGAAAGCAGACGTTTGGCCTGATGTTGACCTCGAGGTATGTATTTTCCAGCTTTCCTTTTCCCCCGACTTTATGGAGTCTTGACCTTCTCCGTTTCCCCAGAAAGCTCCATAATGGGCTGTGAGATCGATCTGCAGGAACGTGGTCAGGACTAACATTTCATTCCCAGTCACATGTTAATAATTCATACGATCCTGCCTGTCCCACATGTTTGCAGCTTTGTTTTCTGGAGCAGGGCCCAAGGTAACAGCATCTTTCTGGATACTCTTGCTCATGTGCATTTAAACATCGCACACTCAAGAATATTTCCTCACAGTTTAGATCTTTTGGGAATAGTTTCAATTGGACAAAGCTAAGCTTGCAGAATCATACGCTTAAGTTGGCTACTCAAACAAGGCAAAAAATGAATAGCTGAAAGTCCAATTTTAAAATTGTATATGGGGAAATGATGCCTGCAGCTTTCTGGCTTGTATGCAGAACAAAGCACTTCCAGACACGTGCCTACAAAATTAGCAGAACCATCCTTTAAAATCCCATGTCCTCCAACAAACCCCTTTTTCAGATGGCCAGTACTTTCTTTCTCTGCTAGCATAAATAAGCATAATTTTACTGACTTCAACAGACCCGTCTCACTTTGCATCAATTTAGGACCTGACTCCTAATGCCTAAAAGAGAACAAGGGCCATTTAGAATGAACAATGTGTCGGGCAAGTCACTTCTGTGCAAACGCATGCAGTAATTTTCAGTCTGCGTCGACTTCATTATGCTGGAACCACACTGTCTGTTTTGTCAGCGAGACTGAAAAACTGAGATTTATTTGGGTTAGGCCTTTAGGTAAAAATGACTGGTTCTTATACCGTGAGCCTTTGGGGGAAGTGTCATCTCTACCCTCCTGATTCTCCCATCTACAAACTCACTTCATTCTTCTGTAGTTGGAGCCTCTACAGAGAGCTACCACCCCTGCTCCGGTGCCGACTATTACATCTCCCGTCCGCAGCACCAGCAAAGCTGTGACTCCCTAGGAGAAAACAGGATTAAAACACCATTGGGTGGGAGCAGGGTCTCTCTGTTGCTGCAGCCATGGTGAATCGCACCCCGGAGACTCCCCCGACGGTGGTGCTTGTGTCACTCAAATATGGCTTTATCAGCATCCTTTCACTGACCTGGGCCAAAGAGTGACTCTCTAGAGGGAGAAGAGAGTTCTTAATTACAGGTGTGTATGAACTACTACAGTAGGAGTCTTTAAGGAGCAAGCAAACAGCATTGTCGTGGATCCTTTGGAGCAGTTAGGATCCTGTATGAGCCTTCACGGCCTTAACTCCTTCCAGCAAGGAACACACACACTCTGCAGTCCTGCCTCCACTTTTCCTTCCACCAGTTCCTCATCTATCAGACATGAGTTGGAACAGAAGAGGTTCCACTCAAATATGAGGAGAAACTTCTTCACGGTGAGGGTGATGGAGCCCTGGAACAGGCTGCCCAGGGAGGGTGTGGAGTCCCCTTCCTTGGAGATTTTCAAGACCCGCCTGGATGCTCCTGAGTAACATGCTCTAGCTCTAGGCAATCCTGCTTCAGCAGGGGAGTTGGACTAGATGATCTCTATGGTCCCTTCCAACTCTAGAAATTCAGTGAAATTCAGTGAAATTCATTGAAATTCAGTGAAAAAAGCCGTGGAGAACACTCAGCCTAAGCATCCTTTCCTACAGCTTCTTCCCTGACAGGTCCTCTGCATCCCAGTCCTCTCTCCCTGCATGGAAGATGCAATCCCATCTCCCACCTATAAGTAATAAACGACATTTGTCACAGAAAGGCTGTGGAAACCAGTCAGCCCATCATCAGCATGGTTTTCTGCCATTTGCAGAGGAGTAGAGCAACAGGAGGTCAGCCATTAGATAAAGGAGAAATGTTTTTTGCTGAATAAATATCAGACTACAGTAAAAAAGACCAAACAGAATCAGCAAACAAACAAAACCAGTCCTTGGGCTGGTTGGGCTTTTTTACAAAGTCTGTAATTCAGTTCTTAGCCTGAAATACAAAATTTCAAGTATAAGAAAAGTCAGTCTCTGCTTCAGTTCTGCTACCTGTGCAGTAATGGTACTCTCCTGTATGAGAGACAACAGATTAATTTGTGAGAAATCTGAGACACCCCAAAATAGGCTGCAAGAGGAATGAAGCTACTGCTGTAGGGTTAAATCTTCGCATTTTTACTCAGAAAAATATCCCTACAAGCCTGGGGGAAGGTACGCATGAGTGAAATGGAAAGAAAAGACAAGAAAAAAAGGGAATAAAGGAGCTTTATGCCATCAGACCTTGAACTGAAAGCTGAGCTCTGCCATGAGGGAGTGTGTAGGAGAGGCACTTCCACTCCCACCAAGAGGCAGAGACTCCTCACATCCCCTGTTCCAAACCAGCTGGGAAACTGGGAGCAGCTCTGGGCTCCCCAGGACTCATAAGGAGTCCACTGAGCTTGAGAGTTCCAGCAACATTTGCCACCACCGAGGTGTATAAGCAGCATTGCCAACCCTTGGGATAATACCAGCAGTTTCACTACATTAAAATTTTTTTTTTCCTTTAAGCCCGAGCTCAGAGAGCCGTTATGTGAAAACAACAATTTCTGCTTGGTGGAGTTCTCTCTGGAATAAAAAACCCCTCACATCACAGCACTTAGTGCTGTGAAAGCACCAAGTGAATTCTCCAAGAATAACCAAGAGGCAAATCAGAATAATTCTGCATTTATTCTTTAGGAAGAAATCACTGTCATGTGCTTGCCCCATGATTTTTGCACAAATACAGGTGTCAGCACTTTATGGTACAGTTTGACATCTAAGCAGCACCACCCAGCATTCCTCTTCTTTTCAAGCATTAATCTGGCCTAACCCCAGTAAATTTTCAGGATTAAACACTTTGAGAGTGTTTAAAAGAATGAAAGCAAGAAAGTGTTGATTTTCTGTGTGGAAAGGACTGAAGGTCTAAGGAAGGAGAGAGAGGAAGTGAAGAAAGAAAATGGACATTTGAGCTATTTGGACCCGGAAAGGACATTGCAAAAGCTGTAGATAAGATCTGATGCATTTGGGAAAATTACTTTGGTTCAATTATCCAACCACATAGAAGCAATTGGTTGTTTTTAAAGTCTTGCTTATACTTTTTGAAGAAAAAATAAAACCAACAATAATCACCGTATACGTAACCACACATTCCAGTGCTGGCATCCCAGACAGCCCTGCACCTACCTACGCATCAGCTTAAGGAAGATTGAACTTCAGGAGCAAATAAATACCGATTGCAGAAGAAGAAAGACAGAAAAAAAATCCCATTTTGTAATTTATTCTCACTGGATTTCTTCATTAGTCTGTCTCCACCAGCAGCATATTCACTGCCTCCTGTAATATCAGGACTGATCACTGTGAAAAACACAACCTCCAGAGAGGGTTTATACGCCACGCTATCACAACACTGCCAGGCAGGAGGCCAGGGTTCATGCAAATACTCTTAGCAAAAGCAGGAGAACAAAGACATTCTTTTTAATTAGAAATACGATCCTCAAGCACAACTGTTCCTGAACAATGTTTTTAAAAATTTCCTATGAGGTGCTGGCAGCATTTTGCAAGTCCCCTCCGTTATCACAGGCCCATCAACTGTCTTTTGATCTGCTCTTTTGCAGTTTTTCCTGTAAAAGGCTTCCACCTCAAATGCTCTTTGGGGTTAGCTTTATGGCAGGTGGCGGCATTAGAAATCAAACCCGTGACTACGTAGTTTATCTGATTACAGCTCCCTGCTACTTGCTAATAAATTAAAGTTTTTGCAGCACTGCCAAGACTGCTTTGATTTTTTCCGAGGTATTCTCTTCGGTTCTTCAGTTTGAGAGGGAAGTGAGTATGATTAAGACAGGAAAAAAACCCCTTTAAAATGGCCAGGATTCATTGCCAGGCCCTCAAAATCAACAGTTTGATTGCAACCTTAAGCTGACAATTGTGCTTCTTCTCATCCAATCTGTTCTTTGAATGACCAGGAGGAAACTGAGAGCTTTATAAGTTGCAGTTATTATTCAAGGAGTCGAGCAGTTCACGTTAACGATGCGATGAATACTCTGTTTTATATACTGCCAGGCCTCTTGTAGATGAAATGTAGGAGGTTAAAAATAGCACCATTCATTATTTACTTCTTACAAAAAGAAACCACTGCTTTCAAGTATGATTATAAATAAAAATACCAGCAAAAACCCAGCCTGCCCATTCCCTCCCCTGCAGGGATACTTGCTCTTTGTCCTATTCTGATCTCTCACAAAGCTCTTGAGCGCTCTGTGAACTCTTCCAGTGCACCTCCTTTAAATATTTATTTTCTCTTTACAATGCAAATCACTCCAGCTATTTCTGAAAATGCTTTTGCAATCTAGCATCCTACTTCGCATCTGAACGGGTACCTTACAGCTCCTCAAGCCTGCGATGGGGATAAAAATTAATTTTGCTGTTTATTCCAGTGTTTATAGATGTTACAGAAATGCATTTAAACTTAATTCCACGTAGCTGGAAAACAAGTTGCTTCATCAGACCAGCGAGCTGTTTGCCACTCCTCTTCAAAACAGAAACAAAGAGATCTTCAGATCATGTCTATATAATAAACACATTCTTATATATCTAAAGGCAAAGTGCCTTTAAGGTTGACCAAGCTTATTTTCAATAAACATCGTCTCCTCACCCAAGCAATACCTAAACCCTTTCTTTAAAGATAAGCTCATCATGGGGTGGCTGTGGATTCCAGGCTCAGTTTCGCAGTAGGGCACTGGATCACAATTCCCAGCGTGAGCGGTGAACGAGGGTTTCAGAGACACAGGACAACCCTCTGTTCAGGAATATGCATCTTTTCAGAGAGAATTGCAATGAAGTGACAAAAATGGTTCCACGGGGGGGAATCTGGGACAGTTGCACCCCTGGGTGGTGTAGGGCCACCTCCCTGCCCAGGAGGCCCAAAAGCCGGGCTTTGGAGCAGTCGTGCCTACCTTCAATCAGCGCAGCTCACTGCTGAAACGAGCCACAAGCGGCTGGAGAGGGAAGAGGTTTTGGTACAAGCACTAACACATGGTACATTTTCAAGAAAGAGATAAAAGATGTCTCATGAAATACACAGAGCTCTGCAGGGGGGAAAAGAAAATAAATCAACGCTTCTCCTAGGGTTAGCAAAATGATATACTAAATCGTGTAGAAACAAGGATGCAAATACTTCTGTTTTGATAAATGCCATGGTTTTGACTTGAAAAAACATCTGCAAAATACCTCTTTTGGCATTGAAGTCTATGCTACAACTGGAAATTTCTGCCATAAAACATTAGATCCTACGTGTGCTCAGCGAGGACTTGTTGACAGTCTAGTGACAAGGTATTATTTGTATGCAGAGATGTGCAGCGGGTGGGTGGAAAGGGAATCGCAGCACGGAGCTAGGAAGGGAGAACTGGAAAGTATGAAATTGGATCTGAGAGTAGCTGGAGACAAAAACGTACCAGCACCCTCTCAGGGACAGCCTCAACACAGGTTTGCCCTCATGCATTTCCCATTTTGGGCATAAGGAAACTGCATTGGTGAGAGAAGGGAGCAGAGAGGAGGAAGCAAGAGGAGAAGGGTGATGGGGCTGAGCGAGTGATGGACTGAAAAGCCTGTCTTTGAAAAACAGAAATGACTGGTTTAAACAACAGGGTAAGGAGGAGATTGGAAGGACTACTTGCTATTTCCATCCATTGTAAATGTCTTCTTTTCCCTTCCTTCTCCTCAGATGATCAGTGGCGTATCTTAAGGAGCTGCCAGTATGTAACACTAATAAAAGAGTTTAAATCAGATTAATGCCCACCAGCTCAGGCTGGCAGGCAGCTGAGATGAGATCCACTTCTGGATCTTCTCTTCTCCCCCCGACCTGGTCACTCTCCTGCATAGTCAAAAGTACTGTTTCTCTTCAGCTTTTTGCTGTCAGAAGCAGAGTCAGCTGAAGTTCACGATGCTCCAAAGGTCTCTGCCACAAGCTCTGGCTCCTATGGATGTGCCTTATGCCAAAACCCCTCACAGTTCGGACTGGATTGTGGTCTGGCTTTTCTCTAAGAGGCCCTAGGACCTCTTTCAACCCCCAAATCGCATAGCATCCCACCAATGACCCTATTTGATGGCTTCTCTTCCCAATGGCTCAGAAGTCTATTTTGTGTGAAGCCTTGTTTCAAATGCGTTTGGCACCTTCCTCTCACCCCTGAAGCTAAGGGAGTTTGGGACCCTGGGTGGCTTCAAGCCCTGGTGGCAAAGGACAGCTAGGGCTAGATGAAGAAGGACTCAGAGCATGGAGGTGACATTCAATCACAAAGACCTTGGTGTAAGACACAGCAGAGATCAGCCAGGACATGGGTCCTCTGAACCCCGCAGGATGACTGCTGGGAGATTGGCTACCAAAATACATACTTTCTTGTCACTTAATACATACATGGAATTAAATTACTTACATTCCTACAACGCAAGTGGGAAAAACGAGTAATAACTTCTCCAACCTTCTGGAATAGATAAACATCAAAATATATTTCAAAGAATTCAGTGGCTCCAGGTTATCCCAGAGATATGGGCCTGTATTTGTCAGGCAAGAACCACTACATTTTGAGTGGGCACGTATATGGTTTGTATGTACACGTGTTGGCACAAGCAAAATTCAGGAGATACAGAGAGACAAGCCCAGAGTAGCTTTTTCTTTGGGGTTGAGTGTTGAATATTTCTTACAGTTGTTGTTAAGTCAGATGTTTGCTCTCAAACAAGATCTGTTTTTTTGTGGGACAGCTTCCCCGTGGCATCCCCACCACTACACTGGGGACGTCTATCTGTGTGGCTTCCCCTGCTGCTCACTGATTTTCATGGTTCCCAACAGAATTGTAAAATACATTTGAACTTATGCCGAAAAGTTTTCAGGGAAATGTTTGAACTCCTTAAGTATCACTCCCTCCACTGGCAATAAACTGAGACGCCACGTGAAGTCTTTTATAGCAACAAATAAAGAGAAATCACGAACAAGAGGACTAGCTGGAGCTGATCGTTTATCATTACAGCTCTCTGCAAGCAGAATTCTCCTACAGTCAGAGGCCAAAAGCTCCTTATTCAGAAAATACTCAACTAGACCCCCGAGTCCCAATTACAGACAAAAAAAGCTAAGTTAAAAGAGCTTTAGGGTTATGGAGTCAAGCGCTCAGAAGCTGAAAAACTGTTGTCTCCCAATTGTGCATATGCATTATAATAAACTCTTTAATTATATTATCAAGACTATCTTTCGTCAGTAAGATCGCTGCCTCAGCAGTGGTGGAATCAGAATTTCAGAGATAAACTCCTGAAGGGAAGGGGGAGGAAGGGTATGGGGAACAAACACAGAAATCTAGGCGGGTGGGGGTTTTTTTAAGGGCAGTTGTAGTTTTTAGTTTTTCTAAAATCATCTTCCTGTGGAAAAGAGCTGTCTTGGAATATTTCAGCCCAGCAATTGAACAAATCTGTACAATCTGAACATAAAATATTATAGCAGTAAGTGTGGGAAAGCCTCTCAAATAAGCACTTCTACCAGTCTTCCCAGTAATGGCCTCTGTCTCACTCCAGCCAGTATCTTCCTTAAAAAAAAACCTCAGGAACTACCCCATTTTTATGATTGTTTTTCACTTTTTATAACTTTTCCCAGATTTATCATAAAAAGAATTTGTGGGAAGACTCATGAGATTCAGATAAAACCCAAATTCTGAGCCAAATGGAACCAAACAAAGTTGGGCTAATGGTCTCAGACTTTGGGATCGAGACTGAGACACAAAGAACTAACAGCACAGAAAAAGGGTTAGTCTGTGAAGGAATTTTGTAACAGTTCTCCCGGAGGTTGCCCTACTTTCAGTTACTATCAAAAAGGAAGATAAGGAAAAAATCCAAGTCACAAAGCTGCTACTCACCCCGCTAAACATCTTCTTCAGGGGCCCGTATTGAGTCATCGCCTTGTGGTCTGTACTCACTTGCAGGATATCACCGCTTGATGTGCCAACATAAAAAACACGATCACCATCTGCCATCTATAGCAAAGCATAAAATAAAGAGATCATGGTCCAGACAGCGAGACATTTGTCCCAAGCCTAGCACTGGGCAGCACAAATAGCTTTATTTCAGTGTATTGCCAAGATTTTATCTGAGGGGGTTTCATCCCGTCACATTCGAAGACATTGTAGTGCAATGCAAGACATTTTCTAACCAAAGCTTGGTAATATTTTGAAGCCAAACTGGGATCTTCTGGGTGCTAGAACCTGTGACTAAAATGAACGCTGCTGCTCTTCGAGAGCATTCAAAACACTTTCCCAGGATAAAGAAACCGTGGGAGACTATCTGCCAGGAGCCAACACTCAGTAACTCCACTGCCATCGTGCAGTTGTAATTGGCATTTCTAGCATTACTACACAAGCTCGGGGCTTCTCAGTCTGAGGGGAGTTTCCTAGTTTAGCCAAAGTATTTCAGCTGAAACTTACCCTAACGCATATCACTTCTCTTTTCAATCTCCCTATCCGGCATTCAGTTGGTTGGATCTTTTTATTTGCTAGATCCAGTTCCCATACTCGAATGGTTCCACTGTAAGAGAGAAGACAGTGGGATCGAATCCATAGACGCAGAAATATCCAACTACTTTCACTACGAGGTCAATTAAGAAGCCCCTACAAGGCTACGTTATGCTGAAATTTTAATAAGAAGGAAAAAGAACAATATCAGAGAGGCCAGAAGTAAGTCCCTGTCTTTACTGCTGTCTCTTAGGGTAACTTTTTCCAGGTAAATTGAAAATCCTTAAAGTTCAGCAAAAACATACACGAGGATTACAGGGGAGTATGTAACAACCTTGATACTTCATTTCCCAAAGAGACAAGCTCTAGGGAAATCTTACTTCCTAGAATAGGAAATAAACGATACAGGACACTTTCAACTATTTTCTAGCACAGTTTAATTGACAACATAGGAGCCAATACAACATCTTTACACACAGTCACCCTTACATTTAACAACCTGTTAAAATTGCCAAGATCAGCACTCCTGAGCACAACTGCAGCCAAGGGCATCCAAAGCCTTCCCTGATTTAAAGGGAGGTCCTCAACACGTTTAAATGTCAGGCTCGATACATGGGGGCTGGCTCAAATCCATGCAAAATGTGACTTTTTGTACAAACTTTTGTAACAAGCCAGTGACCAACTGGACGTCACAGCTGGCGAGGCCAGGAGATAATCCAACCACCTGCAAGATATCATTGTTTCTACATTAATTAACCATTGTTCAGAGCCACTCATTGACTGCTTTTCTTGTGTAAACACTGGCAACTAAATATTTTAAATGCTGCACGGGGAATGCTGAGTACAAAATCCTGCTATCAGGAACAGAAGCGACGCATGTGGGTCCCTGTGTGCTGCTTTTTAAAACATATTGTTATGTGTCGAACAAGCAGAAACGCCTCAAAGGGACAAGCTGATGGGAATTTCTTGCTCCATTCACAGCAATGAGAAAAAAATACGAGCCCGCAGCTACTTAAGTTGCCTTGCATTTAAGTAAAGGCTCTTTGTAAAAGGAAGCAGGTCCACGGGTTTGTTCCCTCACTGCTTTGATCTAGACCGAACTTTACCTTCCGGCAGTGACAAAGATATCGTCTCTGCGGGTGGAGCACCCCACGACGGTGGTGTTCCCCGCGTTGAGTGGCGAGGCATGGCTGCAGCAGATTTTCTTTCTCTTGGCAATGTCCCACACCACCACGCTGCAGGGAATAGAGGGGCTTTTCAATAGCTTTGCTTTTTGACATTACTTAAAAACAAATTACTAAAAAAACAAAAGCAAGACAAAAAAAAACAACCCTATTTATCTGCAGGCTGTTCCCATCGGCGTACAGAATAAAAGTAACTTTGCAGAGATTTTACCCAAAAAAACCCCTATCACAGACGTGTGGAACTGCAGTTTACATCCCCTGCTCCCAAAGCACCCCTATGTGTATTTGTCAGAGTCCTTCTGCTGAGCACAACTCAAAGCATATCTTGGACCACCCGCAGAATCTGACTTTAATAACCTTTTATTCTACTCTTAGTTGTCTGTGTGTCAAAGCAAGCCCTCAGTGAAATTTATAATTCTTCAGGGCATAGCATTAACCCAGGTAACTGTGCAGGCTCCGTAAGGTTTCTGGGCAATGACAACGAGCTGCTGCCCTTGTTTCTCCCTCAGCTGGTCCCCATGCCCTGTGCTCTGCCCGCAGTGCCCACCTGGCTGCCCATGGGACAGGGCTGGGTCATGGAGGAGAGACATCAAGAGGGGACAGTCAGAGACTGCCAGGAGAGGGAGGAGTGGGTACTCCCTAAGGGTATTCCTCCAGGCCCTACAGCTTGTTGGAAGCATCTAAAGGGGCTCCAGGAAAGCTGGGGAGGGACTCTTGGTCAGGGAGGGCAGTCATAGGAGGAGGGGGAACGGTTTTAAATTGAAAGAGGGGAGATTGAGATGAGTTCTCAGGAAGAAATTCTTTGGTGTGAGGGTGGTGAGAGCCTGGCCCAGGTTGCCCAGAGAAGCTGTGGCTGCCCCATCCCTGGAGGGGTTCAAGGCCAGGTTGGAGGGGGCTTGGAGCAACCTGGTGTGGTGGGAGGTGTCCCTGCCCAGGGCAGGGGGTGGGACTGGATGATCTTTAAGGTCCCTCCCAACCCAAACCACTCTATGATTCTAAGAAATCTTGTGCCAAGAAGCAGAAATGGTTACCTGCCGTCATCCTGCCCTCCCAGTGACACGAGGTAATGGTTGTTGGGAGAAAATGCCAAGTCTTTGATATCCCCCTTATGCAGCGAGAACCGAGCAAGTAACTCCTTCTTCTGAAAGTTCCATAGAATGATGTCTGCCTGAGGTGTGAAGCAGGAGGGGTCAAAGCCAGAGCATCAGACAGAACACACAGGGTTAGATAAAATTACTTTCTCTGGCAGGAAGGTTGTCAGAAGCAGCCCAGCTTAAGGTGAGCTTCCATCCAGCCCAGAGCTCCTCTGACACAAACAGGCTCTAGATTAGGTGCTGGAAGAAGCATTATTTCAGCCTGTCGGTTGAATAGCTATACTCCATTTCAGAATCAAAATTTACCCTGAGAGACTGGGTATTTGACTTACATTTTAAAATAGTGAAAACTCTAACACTTGATTCCTTCCAGGCATCTCAGGGTCTTTTCAAATAAGCAAAAATTAAGCAATAAAGAACTTTAGAGGTCTAAAAATGCAGGTAAGTACCTGTCAAGGGCTTCTGAAAGTCCTATGCAGCTCTGGAACTCAGATCTCACTTTAAATATAACAAAATTTATTAATTAATATCTAATGAGATTTAGGTTGCCACATGCCCACAGCATTTTGGAAAAAATGGACCAGAACTCAGAAATCCCTCAATCTAGTTAACTCAGTCCTAGGCAGCCTGCTTAACACTTTACAAAAACATACAACCAGAAATGGACTAACCCCAATCTCCCATTCTCTGCAATGTCTTCCCACTGTAGGCATTCATTTTCCAACAAAAGAACAAATAAACAAAAGGTGTTCTCATCCCTGGCTACCAAACTCCAAATTTCAATATTAAAATTAGAGTATTATCCACCTTGAAGCTCATGAAAGTGACTTGTCCAGAAGCAACGTACGTCCCGTCCCTGGACACGACGATGCAGGAGATGTTATCAGTGTGGCCACGCAAGAAGGTCTGTTTCTTACTGTCCAGGTTTTGAATAACCACGGTACAGCCCAGGGGATAGAGAATGTGCTCCTTATCAGGGTGGCAGATGAGGCCACAGATTATTTGCCCTGCAAGAGAAAGGAGTGAAGGATCTGTTGGCTGTTAACAGCTCTGGGGGCTGCAGGCAAATTCTCTTTCCCCACCCCAAGCAGGAAGCCCCAAGAGTGGGCTGACCTCTCCCCAACTCCTCTGTGCCACCTGCCTTGCTTATCACACTCCTAGAAGGGGAAACGCTTGTCCCCAACGTTTATCTCAGAAGAAAGGAAAAACCAAGAGCTTTCCAGTTCCTCCCAAAGCCATTCAGCAGAATAACTCCATGTAAAACTCAAGGGTCACCTTGCCACATCCTGGACTGCGCTGTGCTTCCAACAGCTACCAGACTGAACTGGCCCTTGGGCACAGAGGGTTCTCCAGAAGCAGCCGCTGATTCACAGAGCCCCAGCCCGTGTTGCCGGGATCTGCCTCAAACGAGCTGCAAAGCCACAAATTTCCTGCGAAGGCAGGCAGCTGGAGAAGCCCTGGCACCTCGTCCCCCCCATCCCTGGGTCACAGGAGTGTTTGTGACAGTAGTTTGTGCAACCCGAGTTGGCTTTATTTCAAAATGAACCTCTTCTCGTTCTAGTAAGCTGGGTAATTAAAGAAAAAAAAAAAAAAATCCTGCAATTCCATCAAACTTTTCACGTTCTAAACTTTGCACCTGTCTCTCAGGATGCTGGGCACGGGGAGCATGAGGAGGTGGCAAGGGGGGCAGGAGGGATCCCCTGTACCTGCTGCTCTCAGCCCACCACACAGCACCACGGCCCCAGCCGAGACCCATGGCTGCCCCACATTTGCCCCCCATAGTGTCCTGCCCTCCGCTCAACCAGCCCACTGTCTCCCCCGGCCCCATGGCTGCCCTACACCTCTCCAGCCGCCCCTATGGTGCCCCACAGCTTCTCAGTTGTGTGTGTGTCTGTCCGACCCCGCTCCCGATGACCCATGCCCCCTCAGCTGCCCCCTATGCTGACCCACAGCTTGTCAGTTGCCCCGCCTCGATGCCCCCCACCCCCTCAGTTGCCCCCTATGGTGCCCCACGCATCCTCAGTTACCCCTTATGGTGCTCCCCAACCCCTCTTGCCCCTTATGGTGCCCCACACCCCCTCAGTTGCCCCCTACGGGGCTCCCCAACCCCTCAGTTGCCTCTCAGGGTGCCCCACACCCCCTCAGCTGCCCCCTATGATACCCCACACCCCCTCAGTTTCTCCCTATGGCTCCCCACACACCCTCAGTTGCCCCTTATGATGCCCCACACCCCCCCAGCTGCTCCCTATGGCTCCCCCCACCCCCCCCCACG